AACAAAAGTTTTGCCATTGTCGGAATATATCTTCTCCGGATGGCCACGGCGCGCGATGAGCCGTTTGAAACTTATAAAGAATTCACTGGTCGCTAGGTTTGGTAGTACTTCCTGGAATAATCCTCGTGTAAGACTGCATGCGTACAATGCAAGATAGGCCTTTCCTTCTGTTTTGGCTCTGATACGGTACTTGATGGGTCCTGCTCCGATAACCTCGAATGGGGTGCTCCTCTCTGTGCGGTCAGTGGGTAGGAGTCCAGGAGGCGGTGTTGCCAGTGCCATAGCCTGAAACCGCTTGCAGCTTGAACACGCCTTGAAAACTTGTTTTACGAGTGCCCCTAAACGGCGGTAGCCAGTATAGCTCTCGCACTTTGGTCATGGTAAGGGCCACTCCTCCGTGCAGTGTGTCGACAAGTGATCGGTGAACTAACTTGCGAGTGAAGGGCGAGGAGTCTGGCAGAAAGATGGGGTAATGGCCTCGAATTCTTCCCCTACACTCTAATATTCCCTCTTGGTTTCCTTGCACATTCAACTGTAAACGGTCTTTTCTCGCTCGAATTTTCTTGTTGTTGAGATTGCTTGATCCAGAACGTTGCACGTTGTCTGTTTCTGTATTTCTTCAGTTGTAAGGGGACCAACGATTCTCTGTTTACGAACGCTTTTTATGTTGTGGAGGAATCTCCAGATCCAGGTACCCACTCACAACACACGCAATAGCTCGTGCTTCTTCAGCAGCTCATCGAAAGCGCCGTTGTTCTCTGTTTTCTCTACTGCTAGAGCAAACAACTCGCGCGTTTGTTTCACTTCTTCCGCCTTTGATTCTTGGGTAGATGTCGTTACAAGGTCTGGTGGCCAGTCGTGTGGTTTTGCTAACCAGCTTGGTCCCTGCCACCAAAGAGCTGTCAATCTACTAATATCTCCTCCCCTACTCCCCACGTCCACTGGATTCTCCTCTGTTAGTACATGCCTCCAGATGATTTCTTTTTCCTGGATCTTCCTCACTCGATTTCCCACGAACCGTTTGTATTCGCCATTTCCAAGGATCCAGTGCAGTGCTACTGTGCTATCCAGCCAACCATAGACACTTCTTACGGGAAAACCCTTCAGGACTTCTTTCACATTTTTTATTAGATTTGCAGCCATATGTCCAGCCACTAGTTCTAATCGGGGAATCAAGAGTCCTTTATTCGCGAGACGCGACTTTGCCGTCACAAGGCCTTGATTCGTGCCAGATGGTTGCTCCACCACTGCATAAACCGTGGCTGCAACTCCTTTCCCACTTACGTCCCCGAATGTGTGTAAGTCGATTGATAAAATCTTCCCTACATGCTTCACGACATTTCTTGGCGCGTTCACGTGCTCGGGAAGTCCTTGCTCCCATTTCTTCCATTTGGCTTGTAAGTCACTTGGTAGGGGGCTATCCCACGCGATCTTCGTGTCGCAGGCATCTCTGTAGAGTGTTTTCCAGAGAGGTTCACGGGTGAAGCCAGACCGAGTGGATCGTAGATTTTTGCGACTTTTCCCAGGATGCCCCTTTTTGTCGGCTCAGCAGTTGAAATCGGGAAGCTGACTTGAATTTCGTCCTTTACTTTGTCCCAGGGGACTTCCAGCAGTTTTGATTCGCCCTTTCTGGTTTCCAGTTGTTGTTTGGCGTAACTCTGACTTTCTTCATCTGAAGTCGCAGTTTCAACTTCTAACTCCCGATTGTTGGAATGCCACTTGTGCAGCTTGAAAGTCGCCTCACCAAAGATTGTTGTGGCTGTCACCTTGATTTCTAGTGTTTGTTTTGTTGTCTCCCCACCATCGTTGTACCTCTGCATCTTGATTTCTAATGTTTGTTTTTGTTGTCTCCCCACCACTGATTAAATCATCTACGTACATACTGCGCTCTATCTCCTCCACTAGTTCCAGGTTCACCATTTTGTATCGCTATAGATGTTCTTTGATAACTGCGGCCAAGAGTAATGGAGACGGTGCCAAACCAAAGAGTACTCCAGTGAATCGCAAGGTTTCTAGCTGTTTGCTTGGCAGATCCTTTATCCAATGAGAGCGTAAGGCATCTCAGTCTTCTCTTCGGACGCGAATTTGCAAGAATGCTTGTTTTAAGTCTCCAGCTATTGCCACGGGATAGAACCTATTTCGTATCAGCACGTTCCAAAGCTGGTTCTGTAGTGGAGGGCCGATTTCGAGACACTTGTTGAGTGAGGGGACACTTGCATTTGTTCTTGCAAAATCATCATAAACAATGCGTATCTTTGTAGATTCTGCGTTCTCGCGCACGACCGCTTCATGAGGAATGTAGAACTCTCTTCCGTCCTTGACCACCTCGTCAGTGCGTTCTACGATCCCTTGACTCAGTTGAGTCTGGATAATGTCGTTGTACCTCTGCAGCTCGCCTTGCATCTCTAACTTCCGCACAATATTTTTGAGACGTTTTAAACTTCCAGTGTTATTGTTCGGTAGGGGAGGAGGATTTCCTTTCCAGGGCAGGTTCGTCTTGTACCAGCCTTCTGAACTTCTGAACTAGTTGCTCTTTGAACTCTACGTAAACGGTTTCCTGGTCACCACTTGGACGTCTAACTTGCACAATTCTTCGTAATCGATTTCGGGGGCCTGCGTTAAGAACATGTTGCTGAGATCCAACTCCGTTCCAGGTGACAAGATCGTCCCGCCGAACTTCGTATATTCTGCTACTGGTTCTCCCGAGCGCCCAACTCTTGGTCTTGCTCCTGTTTCGATCTTAGCGTACTCGTTTGTTCCAAGGAACAGATGAACGGGCAACATCGCTTTCTTGTCGTTATCATTTGTGGTTATGCCCTTCAAATGAGAAAACTGAGCTACGATTTCTGCGCATTTTGGGTTTTCCAATGTCAACAACTCTTTGCGGTCGACTTTGTTTACTTCGGCTTCCAAGGTGAATTTACCATCTACGCTTCGAATTTGTAGGCCATAGATGTCTAACGCTTTGTTTGAAGTACCAAACATCATTTCAATGCGCTTGAATTGTTGACGGATAGTTGACAGTCCCGAAGCGTCGATGAAGCGTAGGAACTTCCGGCTCCCGTATCCAACAATGCTCGACACTTAAAACAATTCACGTCAACTGTAACCATGGGATACACCACTCCTTTTCTTTCTACGCTCGTTGTGGTCATCATCTGGTCTCGCGATGTAGGTTTGTCACAAATCGATGTATGATGTCTGCGGCTGCAGATCTGGCAGCCAGAACGGCATTTGCACTCAGAAGCGCGTTGTCGACTTCCTGTGCAATTAAAACACAGTTGTTTCAGACCTAATTGCTTCCTCCAGTCTCCAACTGTCACAAACTTGTTACAATTTACAGCTCTGTGGTCAGTTGCGTCACAGTAGATACACTCTCTTTGTGTTGGCGTTGTTTCGTTTGCGTCAAATGTTTTTTCGCGATCGCGGAATTTAGCACCTTGCTTCCTTGCATTTTCCGGGCCGCTCACAATGGGGTTGATTTCCTTCCAACTTATCAAAGCTTTTATCAACCGTGGGAAGTCCCAGTCCTGCCAGTCAATTTGTCTTCTTACTAAATCTGCTATTACACCCTTTAGTTTGTCGAGCACACTCCTTGCATTTCCAGTCACGTCTTTCAATTTGCCCAGTGTCTCCAAAGATTGCACAATGTACACGAGCTTCTTGTAAAATTCGTGGATAGGCGCAGGTTGTGTTCCTGTTATGACAGGCA